TTTGCATGTGATGACGCCTCGTTTGCGCGCGACCGGGTCCAGCCTTCGTGATCATCCTCTCCCAATGTGGTAGTAAGGTCCATCCGACCATCGGCCATGTGTCTGGATCACCAACCGGAGCAAAAGTCCAATTAGAAAACTGAGCTACCCAGGTCTCCGTCCAAAAATAAGGATCGTACAATAACTTCGGTGGAGTATTAAGTTGTCGACACACAGCTATAGCATGAGAGCATGGTTTCCTATGTGTCTGCCACTTCAGACAACGACAACGCCTCTCGTCGAACCAAACCTTACACCTGTTTTTCCACACATTGAATTATATTTATAAACAACTAAAAATTTTAGTGAACAAAATTAAAAAAATTAAAATTATAAAATAAATAAATAAACCACATACGTTTTGTCCCCTCTACCACTCGACCGTAGACCCGTTGTCACATCGTATAGAGATCTCGCCGCGTTCGCACATCTCACCCTATGATTTGCGGCCGTACTCTCCAATTCGCAAAAAGCCGCATAGTGGGAACTAGCAATGGCATTACTGCATCTCGTGGACTTCTTTTGTTCCTGCTCAAACAAGTCCAGAGTTTTCATGAATGTGGCGCGTACCAAAGCTCGGCAGGGCAAGAACCTAACACCTTTCAGGACGTTGTTGTAACTCTCGGACATATTGGTTGTCAATGTACCCCATCTACGTCCTCCCTCGTCTCCAAGCAGGGTCCACTTGTTCAAAGGAATTCCGAACAGGTAATTGTATGCATCCGGATTAAAATCCGAAAGCCACTCTCGTATCTGTTGAAATTTTCGCTCTGAAAGCTGTGAACCCAACTCCCAACACCAATTTCGGATTTTGCTATTCCTGTACCTAGTAACAACTTTGCTCCGAAGGTGTCGAAGACAGATGCGGTGATATGCAGCGGGTTCTTGCCAAGCCGCCAATGAATCCACAACACTCTGTAAGCCACCATCCCTGTCCGAAAGAAAGCATATTTGTCTGTCGCCGACA